CGTTTGTGTAGAGGAGCTGTCGAGGAGGTATACGCGTCTGTGCAAGGCGCTAACGCCGAATGGCATAGGGAAGCTACCCTGGTTGAAACGAAGGCAGCGAGGAGCCTCCTTCAAGAGCCACGAGTCACGTGGGTCCCGTGACTCGTCACAAGTCACAAGTCAAGAGCCACGTGACGCCGTGGCTCGCGCGCTCGTGTTCTGACCTCACGCCGTTTGCAAGAGGCGTCGGCAGCAGCCAGCGGCGCGGCTCTGGTGTCACGAGCGTACGGCGGGCTGCTGTAACTGACACCGCCAGCTGCGTCAGCTGTGCATTATGGAGGCCATCGCCTCCGCTCGGTGCCGCAGCACCGCGCCAAGACGACCGCCGGCTTTGTTCATAGGCGAAGCCATCGATTGGGATTTGGGACGGAGGAGGGAGGGTTTGGTCAGATTACTCACGTCTGTTTCTAACGGGCAGTAAAGCGTCTGTGCGGCGGCGCGCGGCAGTGCGAGAGCCCATTAAATCTCGTACAGATTCAATTACGTGCGCGCGCCGCAACACGAGACCATGGCGCGTAGGTCGCTCTTTGCGTGATCCCGGGCAACTGTTGCTACAGTCCGTGGGTGCCGGCCCGACCTGACTCAGGCTTCCTTTTCATTCTCTCCCTCCTTCCCGTGCTCTGTAATGACATCGTTGTTACTTATAGACGCAGTGGAATGTGCGTTTCAGTTTGTTGCTCTAGGTGGTAGTTTGGAGTCTGTTGGCAGGCTGCATGTCGCTGTTTTTGAACGCTGCCTTACTGTGACATATTTTACTTTTATTTCCGCAAAACTGCGTCATGTACAAATAGCACTAAAGCTCTTGTGTCGGGGAAATTAATCTCGAAGTGTGCAAAAATAACCTTTGAATCATTTCAACGCGGAGAACATAGGCACACCAAATTTGTAGATCCGGCTTTGCATTTCAGATTGTCATTCTTGGCTCAAAACCAAGAAAAGACGGGGCAATGTGTCATTCTTGGCTCAAAGCCAAGAAAAGGCGGGGCACTCCCTTTCAACTTTCACTATGCCCACAGCACAATGCTGCGTTCTCACAGCCAGTCTCCTTCAGGGAGATCAGACCTCAGCTTGGCATCTGCAGAAGCTCCGCAGAAGCTTCCTCTCGCCGTGGAAGCCGCTTCCAGGAAGTTGCGCTTGTGGCAAATGTAGCGGGCAGCTGTCTGACGAACAAGTTATGGTGCCTTGCCGATGCTGTGGGACGGATAGGCGGCGCAGATCTATTTTTTAGGCAGGTCTAGTTTTCATCAGCTCCGTGAGCTGATTGTTCGAGACCGGTGTTGTTCGATCGGAAAAATACTCGCAATTTTAGCACTTATCGACTTCGCCATTATTTACACTGTACGCACAGTGCCCGTGCACAGGTGGAACTGCTTAAAATAGTTGACAAACAAAAATTAATAACCTGACGGGACGGAGGTTGAGGATCATTGTACAGTGCCCGCATAATGGCCCCGGTGTCGACGTGGCCTTAAATACCAAGCATCTGCACCTTAAGGCAGGTTAGCTGTGCGGCACCAAATTTCTGCGCAAGCGTTCTGATATACCGAGTGGGGTTTAACATAGATCTATGATGAAGTCATGAGGCACTCCGCGAGTCATAAACTCCGGTTGCTACCCCCGTACATGGGCACGACGTGTAGTATTATGCATGCGTCCTTATAGATATCACATTTATGCAAAATTCAGGAGTTCCTTGCAACGAAGACCGCCGCTGAGTCCGTCCACACTTCTCAGCACTACAGACTGCTTGCCTGTTAACGGCGCGCCACGAAATCCGTCCGGAACAAGCCGAACAAGTTTTATATTTGCATTTTGGGGTTGACTATCTCAGTAAGGCGGCAGTGAGGCTGAGTATAAGTTAAGCGAAAACGGACGACAAGTTTGACTGTAAAAGGCATACATAACCAGGAGCTGACTGGACAGATGTATTCGTTCCCCGTCACCTCCAGAGAAGCCTGCTACAGAAGCCCAGCGTCCGACCAACTTCTGCGACGGGCCAAGTGCTGAGGCCCCGCCTCGGGCTGCGCAAATAGACTCCGTGCAGGCGTCCAAAGGCTGTGCTGTCCAAAAGTTCTGAAGAAGGAGGTTCACTGAGCCACCCCCGCCGCCGGCGTGGTGCCCACACGGAGAGGGCGACCGTTTGAGAAGAGTCGGGTCAGAGTCAGGTCAGTCGAAAGACCTCTGAAGCGCACCCTCGTCTCATAAGTAAGCGGTCGTCGATGGAGTTGATGGAACCTTTCGCCGAGCTCCGCTGCCCAGCGCCACTCCTCTTCGACTGGGAACTTATCGTGTTCCGCATGATGTCATGAGGGGGCTCGGCATGATGACAGCCATGCCTCCCTTCGCGGTGCCGTGGTGGGCTGTAGGACTTTGCAGCACTGCAGCAGACAATGTCTTTTCCCACTCCTCTCCTCTTCACTTCTCTGCTCTGCTCTGCTCTGCTCTGCTCTGCTCTGCTCTGCTCTCTTCTCTTCTCTTATCTTCTCTTCTTTTTTTCTTCTCTCCTCTCCTCTCCTCTCTTCTCCTCTCCTCCCTTCTCTTCTCTTCTCTCCTCTCCTCTCCTCCCTCTCCTCTCCTCTCCTCTCCTCTCCTCCTCTCCCCTCTCTTCTCCTCTCCTCTCCTCTCCTCTCCTCTCCTCTCCTCTCCTCTCCTCCTCCCTCCTCTCCCTCCTCTCCTCTCCTTTCCTCTCTCTCTCTCTCTCCCCTCCTCTTCCCTCCCCTCCTCTCCTCTCCTCTCCTCTCCTCTCCTTTCTCTCCCCTCCTCTCCCCTTTCCTCCTCTCCTCTCTCTCCTCTCCTCTCCTCTCCTCTCCTCTCCTCTCCTCTCTCTCCTCTCCTCTCGTCTCCTCTCCGTCCAGAGTGATCGCAGGGGTGGCGCGCTCCGTGCACACGCCGCAGCTCCAGGCCCGCCCGACCGCCCGCCGTCGCTGGAGACCGGATATCACTGGCGACAGAGAGCTAATGCCGGACAACTGAGAGCCGGGCAGCGGCTCATCCCGTCCGGCGGGCCTCAGTCCTCAATCCATCCGACATTGCGGACGCCGCCTCAGTCCTCGATCCATTAATAGTGCAGTCGGTGGTCTTGGCCGCTCGTTACTTGCCGTGTCACCGGGCCTGAACGGAGTCGAGGCCGGCGCTGCCGGCGGTCGCTGGCAGACCGCGCGGGTGGTGGCCATCCATCCAGCTCCGCGTGAGCGTCGCGGTATGTGATCCTCTAGAGTGACACTAAACAGGACTGGAAAATAGCGCAGGGCTTACGGCAATATGCGTCACTGCGTAAATGGAATAAAGGGCTCGTTAGCATAATCAACAGAAAGTGGATAATATCTATTGCAGCAATTAGCAACGACGGCAACGACAACGTCAGCGAGGCAACGACGTATGTGGTAGGGTGTTATTAGGGACACTTTTCAACGCGGTCTTGACTGACTTGATTGTCTCGAACGGCAGCACTTCCCTAATTTTTCTGTTGGTGTTTGGCGTGCATGGTCTCCTTTCGTTCGCTTCGCTTCTCCTTATGATGTGTCTCAAGTGTTATCAACGTGCGTCGACGAATAGTAAAGATGGGGCGAATTGCACGTACGCATGCCCACTCCCAGGATGTATTAACGAGAACACATTAACACAACACAGCACATCTTCCAATGAACACCAGCCCAGTGTTTTAAACATCGTCGTTTGGGTTGCTTCATTTCATAATCAAAATGCCATCGATGTCATATGAAATAATATTTTGTCCTATACGACCACTATAACATTTTAACTATATTCTGCCTTATTTCTGTTCCTTTCACAAATCCGAAATTTGCTGAAATGAGAGGCCCTGGAGGGTGCTTGCTCCGCACGTCTCGCCTTCTCCGATTCCATTTCCCTGCCCCACCCTTCTCTCCCCTCCCTCTATTCTGCTCTCTTCTCTGGCTTCAGGAGGTCCTTCTACTTAATCTGGACGGTGCCTCTGTAAACCATTGAATTCCCAGGCGGATTCTCGTGGAAAAATGACTGCCATAATCTGTGAAATTATTTTGCCAACAACACTCAATTTTCAGGGTTGACGACGTCACTAACCCAAACCCGCCGTTGGCCGTCTGCCTGGGCTTGTGCGCATCTGACCTGTCTTGGGGTGTCAGTCAGGGCGGCGCCTGTACCTTCTTCTGTAAGCCCCTTCTACCCAGACTTGTAACGTCCATCTCCCTAGCCCCCAAGCGCCATTTTAAATGCTGTTGAAATTTTGAGTCAAGTAGTTTGAATTATTATTATCTTAAATACGACATGTTTGATAAATTTATTTATATACATATATGTGTATATATATACACAAACATATATATATATATATACATATATGTATATATATATACATATATATATATATATATATATATATATAAATGCATTTTTGGTTGACTATGATATGCTTCATTATTGTAATGAATAATATTATTTTCATGGTTCAACTTAAGAGCCACTTTTTAAAAGTATGTTGTCAAATCTGGACCTCCAAATTCTAGTTCTTCTCGAATCTCCTCGGTAGTTGGGCTTGGCGAGGCCTCGTTCTCGGTCTTGGGATTTTCCACATCTCTTGCGAGCCAAAAACGTCCAGTCAGGTTTGGCGTCTCCGTCTACGTCTACCCAGTCAGGTTTGGCGTCTCCGTCCTTTGGTCGCCCACTCGACCTGCGCTCGAGGGTGCATCTCTGCTCGCGCATGAGGAATCTGTTCATCTACGCTTGTACATGGAGAGAGCCTGCCCACTTACGCTGGGCGACATTCTTCTACTTATACGTCATGTGCTCCTTACCCAGCTTATGACCCCGTCTGCCTGGATTTTTGAAATGTCTCCGCTGGGGCCTGGGAGTACTTGCAGTTGAGCTTGCGGGCTGTCATCAGCTTCTACACCTCTAGAAACACTATGCCGCCCGCAGGGCGCCCTGGCCACCAGGTCTGACAACCGCGTCCGCGTTTTCAGGTCTGATCCAGGGCGACTCGATGCTGATCTTCAACCTGACCGGCATCCACCGTCAGGAGCGGCTGCGTTCGGCCCGGCTGCACGTGCACCGGCGGCTGATGGCCGGCCGCCTGCGCGCCGGGTCACTGCGCCTGCGCATCTGCCACGTCGCTACAGAGCGGGTACGTGCGACTGGTTGCAGGGTGGACAGAGCGCTTAGCGGTGCGCTGAGCTGACCCGACCCGACTCGACCCGACCTGGCTTGACCTGACCTGACCCGACCTGACCCGACCCGACCCGACCTGACCTGACCTGACCTGACCTGACCCGATCCGACGCGACCCGACCCGACCCGGCCCGGCTCGGCCCGGCCCGATCTGACCCGACCTGACTTGACCTGACCTGACCTGGCCCGACCTGGCCCGACATGCGCCGGTCTCCGGTCGAGAGAGGCTGGTCCGCTACAGATTCTATAAGGCAACTGCCGCCACAGTTCAGCGTTACTGAACAGTGTTCTTCGTTGCGTTAACATCAGACGACGTGCAGCGGAAGACAGCGTGTGTCCCACGCCTGGCAAAGCTGGTGGGATCGGTGTGTTGCACAGGCAGGGAGACCTCACCAGCCGGACTGGCGGTGAGTCGGGCTGGTGAGGTCAGAGAGAGGGGAACCTCACCAGCCTGGTCGGTCGGCAGGTGCCTGTGCTGGAGGACATCGTGCTGAACCTGAACAGCAGCGGCTGGCAGACGTTTGAGGTGACGGTGCCGGTGCGGCGCGTGCTCGGCTCGGCGAGCCGCAGCCGGCTGCTAGGCGTGAGGGTCGAGCTGAAGCGACCCGGTCAAACCGGCTTCCGGCGCGTCCGCTGGCGACGGCTGCGCCGTATGCGCCTGCAGCCGTTCGTCGTCGCCTTCACCGACGACAGCTTCTCCATGGAGCAGGACATCGAGCACAACTTCCTGCACGCGCCGGCCGCCAGACGCCGCGCGACGGCGGCGCCTTTCGGCGGCGACCTTGATGGCGAGACGGCGCTGACATCTAGCGGCGACTCTGACGTCGATGTTAACCGCGTCCGCCGCTCGCTGGCTGACAACCGGGTGCCGGACGCGGCGGATGGAGGGTACTTCAGCTATCACGTGACCGGCTCGGAGGCCAATGACATCACCGTGTTCACCCGCCACGAAGATGGGTCCGCATTGGGGAAACACGCCGCCTCTGCTGACGCCGACGCCAGGTATGGCTCCTGCTTAAACGACACGCAGACGTGTGCTGATCAGTGCTGCCTGACTTATGGAAGAAAATGCAGTAACAGATGCATTTACAGCGAAAATAGAACAGTAGTAATAGCCTTGTTCCTCGGAGACTTGGCAGTAAATACAGTAATTGATGTATTTAGGAGAGTAAATAGGACAGTAGTAATAACCCTATTCCTCGGAGAAAAACCTGGAGAATGGAGATATCGATGGGACAGATATTTCGTCAACATGCCTTATCGAAACAATACTTATGCTGTTGTTTCGATAAAGGAGTGTTGCCGAAATATCAACCCGTCCTTATCTCAATTATCCTAGTTTTTCTCCGAGCAAAACAGCTATTAATACTGTCTTATCAATGTGAATAACATTCCTCGCTAACACACTGAACAGCTTACATTGAGAGAGTAAGAGTAAATGACAAATGCAGCAACAGAGTAATAGACTCCCGCTCTCCTTCCCGTATTCACCGCTTGATCCCGCATCCCGGCATCTGCGCGACAAGCTGTGCACCTCAGCAATGAGCGCCTGGTGCCAACCCACACCCGATGTGTGTTCCCCTGGCGGGAGCACCGCCCGGACACCCGCACAAGCCCCGAAGAGTCACCAAGACACCCGCACAAGCCTCGAAGGGTCACCAAGACGCCCGCACAAGCCCCGAAGAGTCACCAAGACACCCGCACAAGCCCCGAAGGGTCACCAAGACACCCGCGCACAAACCCAGAAGAGTCACCAAGACACCCGCACAAGCCTCGAAGGGTCACCAAGACACCCGCACAAGTCCCGAAGGGTCACCAAGACACCCGCACAAGCCCAGAAGAGTCGCCAAGACACCCGCACAAGCCCCGAAGGGTAACCAAGACACCCGCACAAGCCCCGAAGAGTCATCAAGACACCCGCACAAGCCCCGAAGGGTCACCAAGACACCCGCACAAACCCAGAAGAGTCACCAAGACACCCACACAAGCCCCAAGAGTCTCCAAGACACCCGACGCAAGACGCAATCAAGCAAGACGCCCGGACACCCACACAAGTCCCTGCGCGGGGAGGTCTCGGTGGCGCACGGCTCTTAGATGGCTGCAGTCCTGCCCCGCCCCTCACCTCTCTCCGTGATCTGATTCACCTGGGATGGTCGCTGGTGTCCGGAGGTGCTCTTATCACAACCAAAAACAAACAAAACAAAACGAAAACACTGAAAACAGTGGTGTGCCATCTATCTGCCCATTTACCCTCCCCCCCTGATTCGCCGGTCTTCGTAACGTAGACTGATGAGGGAAGGGGAGAGTCGATGCGACCCCGTGGCGATTCAAGGTTAACAAAAATAGAGCTTAGAGGAAAACCCCAGTGGATTGGTCTCGATGAGATCCCGCGATTGGTACTAACGCTTATGTTTTTAGGTCAATAATTGACCCCTTATGCCAAGTGAACCGTCCAATTTTCCAGAAAATCGTGCCTTTTCAGATTTACATCACGCATACGAGACAATAACTCGTGGCGATACGCAACCTTAACAGGCATATTCCTTGTTCAATTCCAAGTAGAATGATGCATATTTGATGTGTTTTGAGCGTACGTTTATGGTATATGACCTGGATAATGTAACAATGTCTGCAAGCCGCGCTCGTCCCGCGGCATCGCCGGTTTTCGCCGCCCGCACCGACCGCAGACCGCCGTGAAGCGCTCCTCAAAGAAGGCGCTGCTCCTCTGGCGCCAGAAAAGCTTGGAATACGTTGTTTATGTCTAAACGCGTGCAATGAATGCCTCGTAGGCTGCCGAAAATTTGGGTACGATTGCACAACATGCCAGAGAGGTGTCCGCAAAACACTTGGGGGTTCACGTCGAACCCCGCTCCCATCGGGGCGAGGGTAAACCTCACTAAACGCTTCGTTATGCACCGTCACAACGCTACACCTCTCTAAGACGGACAGCTAGTGAAGCCGGTGCAGCAGCTGATGCAGCAGCTGGTGCAGCAGGTGATGCAGCAGCTGGTGCAGCAGTCGGCGCAGCAGCTGGCGTAGCGGCTGGTGCAGACCCCCGTCTGCGCTGGCCTGTCAACCCCGTTAAAAAGTCGCGCCAGAGCCGCTGTGCATACCCCAAATGAGGCTCCCTGTGCGGGTGAAGTCCCCGTAGTGGAGGTTCCCACGATGGTCTAAGCGTCACCGCAGCACGTGGGTTTCTCCTGAATCCCATAGCGCTGAAATTATCATTACTGGGCGGAAGTGTGCTCGTCAATACCGAAAAGGTAACGTCTGCGACAGTGTACAGATTGTCTCTCCATGGTTGAAAGGTTCACATTTCGGACATAGTCTTTTGTACATTGCAGCGAACCAATGGTGAGCTATCACTGAGGGACTTGAGGCAGTATTTCTTCTTCAAGCGCTTTTATTCAGGACTGTAGCCAAGTTTTTCCCCATTTCGTCATTTCTCATGCCATGTCTCCATTGTCATTTCTCCTTGCTTGGAAATCGCAAACATTTTTTATAACGTATCTAGAAGGATCTATATTATGGGTGCAAATATTCCGCGTACATTTACAGTGTGTCAACTAATCTGAGCGCCTTTTTATTTTGCTAGATGGATCTGAGATAAGGTTTTGGCAATGATGCATGTCCCGGCCTAAGCTGTCCAGATTAGCCCAGATTTTGGCAGTATCTTGGCCCTTCCGACCGGAGCACCGCCTATCCCGCCGGCATCGCGGTGGAGTCGGTGGCGTAGCGCGTTCTTTACCCCGCTGGTCCCTACACTTCATCACCGCTTACTTAATTTTGCGGGTCACGAGGGGATGCCAGACATCCGCTGCTGGTACACTGGTCGTGGGTACTTTTCGTACAACACGATGACGTAGGAGTCGCTATCCAGTAGCGTAGCAGGAGGACCCAGCGGGAACGAGATGGTCAGTGGGCAGAAGCTGCAGCTAATTGCGGAGAATTGGGACCCCCTCCCTCCCCCCGCCGCTTGTCGAGGTGGGTGAGAGAAGTCGGTTCATCATACAACATCGTGCATTGCCCAGCTTCGACTCTTCCTTAGCGCCAATACTGCACTGAGCGGGCGCAAAAGTCGGGACGGAACATTTTCCAACCACTGCCGTCTGTATTCTGCTATGTCGGGAAAACACATTAGGTAAAAATTGCAACAGCACATGCCATTGGGACCGTGCAAGAAGCACTACAGACCACGTTTTCTAGTCGGTGACAGCAGAGTTGTCCTAGAACATATATTTCTTCCTGGAATCCTGTGCTACTCTCTGCTGCACATTTTCTCCAGTGTCCATTGATGCCCATTCGCTTTTCAAGGCAAAACCTTTGTTTCAGCACAAATTTCTGTGCCTGTTTTCAGTTTGATTCCGTACCCAGCAAAGGAAAAGCACAAGAAGTGGAGGAAACGGAAGCATAAGAAGAGGAAACACCGTAACCGGAAAACGCTGAAAAACCGGCGGCTTCCTCTGAAGTGGAACGTCACCAAACCAAACGTAGGTGTCCTTCTCCACAAGACCGCGTATTCTCCACAAGCCGTCAATAGTACACATTATGGGCGTTTTTGGAACTCTACCGCTGGACCCCTTTGTGTTACTGTTGGAAACTTTGGTCGGAGTCCGAGTCGGAGAAAAAGCTGTTGTCTTCCAGAATGAAAGCTTTGGAAGTGAAGGAAATGCATTATCAGGTCCATTATGACAGTGTAATTTGTAAATTAAACTGAACCCCAGAGCAAAAAGGACAGCAACGGGGCCACCGACGTTTGTTTGAAAACGACATATGGCATAAATCTTTCCGACATGTTTGTAGTGCGTCCATAAAAAACCGACACGTTCCAGACCGTTCGCATTTTGAAAACATTTCCCGGATTTGATTGCCAACGCTTTGTTATTTTGCATACTTGTAGATCAAAACAGTCCAATGCGCAAGGCCCAGTCCTGGCATGGAGGAATTGACGAGTACCTTGGTAAAAAGGACAATGCCATGAGCACTGGCACATGCTTTTATGATCGATTACATCACCAATCGAAGAGAAGGAAGGAAACCGATCTAAGCCAGGCACTGCTAAGCCCCATCCGCCCCAACGGCCCTAGCGGTGGGGCGGATGGGACGCTCCCCAACCAGTGTCGGTTGGGGAGCGTACGGGCGCCGGCTGTGAGCGTCGCAGGGGGCTGGGGTGCCACTGACCAGAGCCTGGGGTGCCACTGACCAGAGCCGCGCGCCGCCAGAGCGCCGAGCGGGGCCCGGCGGCGGCCCCGCCTCCACCGCCGGCCACCTGCCGCCGACACCGGCTCACCATCGACTTCGACGACATCGGCTGGGGCGAGTGGATCATCAACCCGCCTCGCTTCGACGCCTTCTACTGCGGCGGTGCCTGCGCCTTCCCGCTCAGCAAGGTGAGGCGCGGATGGCGACGGCCCGCACCTTCCCGCTTGGCAAGGTGAGGCGCGGGTCGGTGGCGCCTGCTTGCTCGGGCTTCGTCGGTCTGCAGGGACGCCGCCAGTGCAGCCTGTTGGGCGCAGGTTGGTGGATTTACGTCCTTCCTGCCACTCGCCTCATTCGGAATGCAGCAATGTGGTGGGACCTTAAACTGACAGTGCATCTGATCTGCATAAGCGGCGTGGGATATTGGACGTGGTGATGACGGCACTAGGTGTATGCCCTAGGGGGGATGTGTTCGAATCCCTCGCTTTTCTATCTTCGTCCTTTTTTATCACTCAATATTCCCCTTGTTTCAGTCTATATCGGATGCTCTCTCTCTCCTCTCTCTCCTCTCTCTCTCTCT